CTTACGTGACTTTTGTACTGAATCAGATTTTTTTTATACTCTTTCGTTGCTTCGTACTGTGTGAACTCTTTCATTGTTATGAGACTATTCATCCGTGCTGTATTGCATTTTAAATTATAATAAAAAAAATATATGAATGAAAATTTCATAAAAAGGTTTCGTTGTAAATGAAGAATGTGAAATAAGCGCATTTAATCGAGGAAGATGTGAGTTGTAAAATATTTTGAATTTTAGTTGATGTGATTTCAGTCATAACATCCTGTGGAATATTTTTGAAGTTATTTTAGATACTTTTATGTTTTTCACAGGTCTCAATACTAAGGATTCACCATTTAAATAGATTCGATTTAAATATGACTTTTCTGAGTCTTTCCACTCCGTAGCAATGAATTTGTATCAATAGTATTCAAGATCATACCTAAGGATATGAAGACGCGGGTGCTTTGGCTCCTAAATCAGCAAACTGAAGTGAATTTGTTTGAGTTTTGGAAATGATCCTGATGGACCCCACCAAGTTTACTTGAAGTTTACTAACCAGAACAAAATTGCTAAAATCTAAAAAAATTCTATGAACCCAAGACAAGACAACCTTCTATCCAGCCAACATCACAAACTCAAATCACTCCCAAAAAAAAATACAACAGCATTTTTATTTGTAACATCCAGTTATCACAGTGAAACAAGAGACAATGCCACTGTCGCATGTATGAATATTGTGAAAATTGAAGAAGTCAAGAATCAAATAAATGTCACATCTCATCATCATGCTTAAAAGAATGAGAAAATGATACAGTGTGTGATACATGAGTACCGAGAATTTACATTTTTTTAATGAACTGCTTTGTTTTCAAGCGTTTGTTGACTGATTTGAATGTTGATATCAAGCTATTGAAGGTATGATTTGAGTTTTTGGATGGAAAGATTTTTTCTTTGAAATATTTGGTTTGTAGACGTGAATACTTGCATAAGTAAGTAAGATTTGTTTGTAAATGTCGTCTATAGTCTTAGCAAGTGAAAGTAAACATAAGTTAACTAGTCTCATCTTGACTATTGAGATCGTAAGCTTCAATTTAATCAATGTTGGTGTTTTTTTTTTGTCTGTAGTGCACAAAATGAGACTACAGGAGCTAAAAGCTGCCATTTGAAGGCTTATAATTGACAATAGTAAGTCTTGAACTTATTATCGATGTCCTGATGGCACTATAATTGGATAATAAAGCTCTAATTGATTGCAATATCGAATGATATCAAAGTTTTTTAAAGCTAATGTTTCAGTGTGTCTGTCGTCAATAAATTAAAGCTTCAACAGTCAAATCACATTCCAAAATTCACCATAAATCAATTCAAATCCAATTAACATTTCCACGAATTTAGAATCGTAGTGAAATTTTGAATTTACTTTCTAAATTTAGCTTAAATAATTTGATTCAAATGCTGATATTAAGTTTCTCATTTTTCTGTGCTTAATAATACCCAATTAAAATATTATGCTGTATATAATTAATTCCCACCATCGACATTTCTCTTCTACAGACTAAGTGGAAATTAAATCCGAAATAATTGCATTAAAAGTTCTATCCAGTTACAAGTAAATGCGCTTATCATCACTTGACATGGAAAATCGTATTAAATTCATCATTTCAGTTTTATCTTTTTTTTATTACAGTGAGCTTAATGACTTACAGATGCAATTAATTTCTTGCACTTGTCACTACATTTTACTGCGAATAATCAAGTTGTAGAGAGAGCAAGGAGAAGAGATGACTAAAAGAAATAATGACTGTTCTTGAGATGTCGGCTTGAGGAATGAAAAATACAATTCTCAAGTGAATTTTCCTTCACTTTTACAAAAAGATGGTGGAAGAGATGAACGTGGAATGAGTTTTAATTGAGGCGCATTTTATAGAAAAGTGTCTAAAGTTTTGAGTCTAAATTTTACAAATTTAAGTTCTTATTGAAATTCTTTAAGCCTTGATAGGCTTAGCCTTATTAAATAGTAATGAACTCTCCCTAAGGTTAACAGCCAAGCAGACATAACAATAGCACAACCTAATAACAATCTTCCTTCAACAACCAGGGAATATCCCATAATAAAAATAATAAAAGAGAATAAAGAATCACAACAAACAAGTTGCACTTGAACTTTCAAGAACGAAAGTGTTACTGCATCCATCCTACAAAGATTTGCACTTTGCATTATTTTCATAAAAGAGAAACGACAGCAAACAGCGAATGTAATGCAGATAAATGATTTAATAACTGTCGTGTCAACTATCTCGCATGTTAAAGGCTATAAAGGCTTTTTTGCCGAGACACAAGAATTTGGGCGACATCCAAAAATAACATTAAAGAATTGCTGGAGGAGAAAATTGAAAAATTCTTAAAATTAAATTGGAAATTCTTTTTATTATGCGACATTCAATGGCTGAATAAAAAAATCTATTCATAAATTTTAAATGAAGTTTGAATAATGTCTTTAAAATGTTAATTAATCATACAACAATGGCAGAAAAGAAAGGAAGGAGATGAAAAAAAAATCTTTTATTCATTTATGAAAGAGATGAAAAGAAAGAATGAGCGAAATGAAGAGGAAGAAGAACATAATGTGCGACATAAGTATGAAGACAAGTCTCAACACCCACGAGATGAGTTACAGCTATATTATGTCTCACAATGTCGCAGAAGATTGAATGTAAAAGTAGTTCAGATTGATATTTTTTAAAAATAAATTTTGCATTTAGGAATCATTTTTTGGATTCAACTTAGCTTTAAATTTCGTTACTTTAAACTTAACGTAACGTAATTTGTGAATGAACCCATTAAGAATCTTTCAAAAATCAAATCCGAAAACCAAAGCAACAAAGTTCAATGACAATCAATTTACTAAATCTTAAATGATCACCATCAAATGTGTATCAAATTTCAAAAGCTTAGTCATGGACAAAATGTGTTCATCAGCCTACTTCATTCTATAGTATTAAAATCTCAAAAGCTGAATAATTCTATTGTTCAGTCACACAAAAAAGAGAGAAAATAATCAAATGAAATTGAAGCCACCCACAGGCAAAGAGTTAGCTGAATATGGAGCACAATTGACGGGACTTTTCAATTTTCTGAACAGCTTTAAACAACAAATTTTTTTTTGCTGTTTCTATTTTTGAATAGAACAAATGAGATTCTTGTTAGAAGGCATAACAAGACACGTAGCGTATACAACAGAAAGAAATATGGGACAGAACGTGATCAAAAATAAAAATGATGGATTTAATAAGCTACTCAAATGCAACAGAACAATAGAACATTTCATACACACTTCACAGCTCTATATTCGCTATGAGGCACAAAATCACATGAATGAACATTCTGAATTTTTTTTGTTTATGTGACTTTTTGATGGACTCCCTCTGTGTTTCGGTTGTTTGCATAACCCAGTTCCCTATAAACAATATTTTTTGCACAATATTTTTTTTGTTTGTTAGCGAATTGACGTGAAAATGAAAAAAAATTCTCGGTTAGTGCCTCCTCAAAGGAATAATTGACATGGAAAATTATTTGTGTGCTGAAAAAATTTCCAACTAATGGAAAAAGTAAATTTGATGTTATTTGGATGGGTTGTTATGTATGTAGAGCGAAAATTGTTTGATAACATTGTTTGTGCTGCTTTTAATTGATTATCAATGGATACGATTGAAAATTGATTGGATGGATCGTTGAAGCTATACAAAAAATAGTCATTGTTGTGCTGTAATTTGAATAAAAGGAAGGTTGAATTGTTCATTCAGATTTTTGGACCAGGGTTGCGATACAAGCATCTGTGCACAGTTGGGAACCGTACAATTCCATGATAATTTGTGAGGTTTTATTAGAATTTGAATAGTTTTGTTTGAAAAATCTTATAAATTATCAAGAAATTGTACGGTTCTCACATGTTCACAGGTGCCTGTATCACAACTCTGATTTGAACTAGTTTAGATCATAAACTTTTGTTGTGATTTTATCTATATCAGTTATTAAAACTGCCAGATGCCAGGCTTAAATGATATCTAGGTCCAGTGGGTGCTTACTTAAATGCAAAGACATACAAAGAGTTATGTGATAACCAAAATACACATACTGCTTCAGATTGGATAACTGGGTAGATAATGGTTTTTTTGTAGGATATTGTAGCCTAATGGCAACAACTAGGGGTAATTTCTAGTAAACTAAACATATAGACTAGCCTATTGTAAGAGAAATAATCCATCTCTATTAAAATATTTCAAATATTTCCATGAAGCAATAACAAACTCTATTAAATTCCATTTTTGTAACAAAAAGTTATGATCCTTTTCCAATAAAAACAACATTAGACGACAGGATCTTATAAGTTACCAAAAAACTAAGATTTTAAAGCATAAAAAACTTTAAAATTCTAAAACAAAACTTTTTCATTATTTCCTTATGCAAGACAAACTCATCATTTAGTCGCTATGGTAGATTAATTCTCCTTTTTTATGCAAGTGGATGATAAGGAAGGCATAAAGTTTCAAGAACTTATTGCTTGAACTTCTTACAAAGTCTATGATACCTTTTACTACTTCCTCTCATAACCCCTTTTTACCTTAGATTAAAATCTGAATGGAGCAAAACTTTTCCTCGTCGTTTTTAGTGCTTCAAAACTAAAATAAATTTATTCTAAATATGGAAAAGTTTTTTTCCAGGACCAGGAGAAGGAAAAATTTTCATCTAAGTGAAATTTAAACACTCGAGAGGAAAATTTCTTATGAAAAACTTTTGCATTCAAAGGTTTTCTTCTCTCTTTCACACATATTTTATGGTTTATATATTTATGAGATTATTTTTCAATATTTTTTAAAGGTTTATGAGTTCAAATGAAGATTTTTGCGATGAATTTTCGAAGTTGTAAGATTGAATGGATGAGTTCTCAAAGGATTGATTATTAAAAAATCATTTTAATCGATATTCAATATCAGCTACAAATAATTCAATGAGCAACTTACTTTTAAAATACTGGCAGCAACATAGCTGACTTGTATTAGCGTTTTCCAGTCGAGTTGAGTATTTAACAGCCTAAAAGTATACAAAGAAATTAAAATAATTAGTATGTTGAATTTAGTTTTGAAAGAAATCTGAAGACATTAAGTAATAACATTTAGGAAAGAGCTGAAGCTGTGTGAGGATTTTTATAGAACATTTTTTATTCATCCCATCCTTAAAAATACCTTTAATCTAATCCAATAGTTTAAAAAACAGTCGAATAAATGGAGAACTAATACTGAATGATTTCAAACTCTATTTAAAATACATAATCTGCGGAATAAGATAAAGAAAGCATTTTATAATCTTTCAAACTTACACTTTCTTTAAAGAATTATGTTTTTCAACAGTTCAAACTCTCAAAATTACATGGCTGTACTTGAATAAATCTGTATCCATCAGGATTAGAAAAAATTCTTTTAATCTTTTGTCTTTTAAAGCTTTTGAGTTTTATGCAGTTAACAAACTTTGCTTTTCGATATCTTATTATCTTTGTCTTATCACACTTCAATAGAAAGTCTGAGGACGATGCAATTACTGAGCAGTCTGTTGACTTTAAGATTTTATCATTCTTAAGTTTATTCTTAAAAATATACTTTTGCATCCATTTGTCTAAGCTAAGCTTCTTTCTTTGATAATAATTATTGTTACTAAAGGAATGAATTTGAGATGAAGCAGATCGAAAGTGTCTTTGACAAAATAATTCGATTAAAAATGCTGTTAATGCTACTAAAAATCCAGTCACTAGTAACAATAATGGTGTATACATGTCTATGTGCTCAACATTATTGCTTGATTTAGTATGTTTGAAATCTCTTTGTCTTTCAAAATCAAGAACTTTCCAAAAGCCATAAATTCCTGATTCCATCAGCTTCTCAACTACTTTCGTGAATTCTTCAATGTAAAAATAACCAGCTTTGACATTATAAGACTTGTAATGTTGAGACATTACAAGTTGGTCAAAGAGTCTTCGATCTCCTTTGTAATTCCTGGACGACGGAATGAAATATTCTGCATAGTCACAAAAAACAGTATAAACTAAGTTTTCGTCGTAATAATCAGGAATCTCAATAGAAAGTGTTTCAATAAAATTTATAAAGTTCAGAATCTTTTCTGGTCGTATTCTTGGAAAATTATTATGTCGTGCAGTTACACCATCATAAAATGAATAGAACATTGTGTTACTATCATTCAATTCTTCAATGCTCGTAGCTGATCGCCATGTTGGTGTTGCAAACATAAACGATAAGAAGATCGATTCATAGAAGGAAACAAGAATAAATGAGCTAAAGATGAAGCAATAAACCAAAAATGTCTCTCGAAGTGTGATTCTTTCAATTCCTGATGCACCGAGGTTTAAGATCAGCTCGTATACCGCGAATACTATTGCTGTGATTGACATCTCATTTGTCACTAATTTCCAGCAAATTATGACCGATATTGTTGATACAAATGCCATTATCATTGATGCTCTGTCGAGTGGAAATGAGAAGTTTTCATAAGCTGATACAGGAATGTTTCGTGGGACGAGCAAGCATAGTCCAAGCATTTGATTTATATATATAACTTTAAGGTTTTTAGAGTTAATATTTGCATTCGTGTACAAGCTGATGTCACCCCTTTGTTCTAAGTAGTTATAAAGCTCCTCAAGTTTTGGCTTTCTTTTAGCTGAATTCATGATTTTATAAGCAATTTTACGCTTTTTACAGAACACGTTGATCAAATTGCCTTCTGCTCCTATAATCACTCCATTTTTAGCATATGACAGAGGATATGAGTCAAAGAAAATTACTCGAACAAAAGGCACTTCATCTCCCTTTAAAACATCCTTCATCATTAGAAACTTTTGATCTTTAGTTTCTTGGTAATGAACTTTTAAGGCATTGCTTATAGTTTTCCTTATAACTATGCGAACAATAGCAAAAAGCCCAGACTTTTCATGATTTATTGCATAAACGTTATAACACTTTTTTGAAATCAATACATTTAATGATATTTCAAAGTTCCTTGCCGAAGAGTAGCTACTCAAAATCACAAATATTTTTCTAGATTTATCCTGAATTGTTTCATCAAAAAAGTCAGGTATAAAGTTTTCATAATCATGTGCAAATTCATCGATTAAAAATATGACAAAATCTTCATCTCTATAATTTGTGCTCACAAATGAAGTGCCATAAACATTTAATGTGATTTTATTTTGTCCATATTTTAATAAACTTTGATGAAATCCTTCATAAACTAGATTATTGGTTTTTGATCCAACAATATAAACAGCAACTCTGACTTCATCTTTATTCACACTACTATCACTTTTCAACATCATTTGAGCCACAAGCTTGCACAAATTTTCCCATTGCTGATTGTTATCAAAAGCTATTAAAGCTGATGTGGTCCTTTTTATATTATTTGGTGTGGTATACAAACTTTGTATTGAGTTTTCAAGTGCTTGCACGGTGAGTGCCTTTTAATAAAGCCTGAACCTTCTTTCTGTTGTCGGTTTTCCGATTTTTTATTTCCAGCTCAAACTGTATTTAGTGGGAGTCAGTACATTCATTCGTTACATCCATGCCATCCAAACATCAACAACCGCTTCCGAAAAGGAATAATCTAGATATGTCAAAGGATGACAAAGAGAATAAGGAAGTGAGCAACTTTGAAATATTTCAACTTATCGAGAAGATGAGAGCAGAGAACAAACAAGGAATAAATTCCCTAAAAAATGAACTTGGCACAAAAATATCAGAAATTCAACTATTGCTATCACATATGCAGCAAAGAATTGATGGAATGGAAACAAAAATACAGCAAGCAAATGCAAAAGCAGACGAAGCACTTAAGTTGGCGTATAAGAACAAAACAGCTTTAAACATGATTTCACAGAACTTGCTACAAAAAAGAATGGAAATCTCAGGCTCGAATATAGACGTTACTCTCAAAGGTGATGACTTAACGACAAAAATAAAGGAATTAATTGAGTCATTCGGTGTAACAGTCAAAGATCATGAATTAATTCAAACATTTCAACGTACTAGAAACCAACCAGTCCTGCAAACACCTGTTGTGGTAGTCGAATTTAAGAATCTAGATACCAAATTGAAAGTTCTAAAAGCAAGAAAAACCGCTATAGGCAGTAAAATTTATTTCGACAATTGTCTTACTCCACTGAATCGCTTTTTGATGTATAAAGCAAGAGAAGTTGCAAAGGAAAAAAACTTCAGAGTCTTCTTGAGTGGTGACCAAGTCCATGTTAAAAAGGATAACGACACAAATCTAATTATAAATGACATCTGCGACGTTGATAAAATCAAAAGCTGGATTCCCAATCTTCGTGTTTGACACTCACACAATTCTCTCACTGAATTCAAAATATTTTGCAACCGCTTTTCTGCTATTTAACTTGTTATCATTTTAAAAAATTGTTTAATCAATAATTTTTCTATTTGTTTCATAACATTTTTAACAAGAGATCTTTAAGGAAACTTAAGTTTCATTGATCTCTTGCAATTTTAATTTTACTTGTCAATTTCTATTAATTTTTATTATTCATGTATTCAGTACAATGTAATTTAAGTCATGTAATTAATACTCTTTCTCTTCTGAAGGTTTTTTATGCCTCTTCAAACAGTTTAAGTACTGTTTGAGGAGGCTTTTTCCTTCTTAAATGGAGAGAAGAGCATATTTAAAATTTAAAATAAAAAAAAAAAAAAAAGTTTTGGCTGGTGTTAATATTGAGAAAAACTAAAGATAATATTATTGCCTTGAAAAACAATTTGACCGACATTTATTTGACGTCCTATTGTTTCAAGTTCACAAACTATTTAGAAGAGTTTTATAAAAAAAAATAAGTTTCTATAGTGACTAAGAATTACAAAACAGACGATTGATTCATTATTTCATATTAATTTGAGGAAGTCAAATTACATAGTGAACTCTTTTAAATTATAGGCACTTTTATTTTTCTGAAATAGAATTTAAAATTATTGACAAACAACAAATAAAATATCGCATAGCTTACAAACTTTAAATAGACAAATAGAAAATGTTTCTTTCCTTCGAAATGTTTAATGTCTGTAGATTAAATCATTTCAATTTATTATGTCAATTGATGATCCCGGAATGTAGGGTTTTACTTGAATACATCGATAATCTGTTAAATCCTTTATCAATTTTGATTTCCTTGATTTTTTGAATTTTTTCAACATAAAGTAACCACCAGAAATAGATTCTCTGCAGCTAATATGTTCCTTTTCAATGCATCTTGATGGTAAATGTGTAGACATGACTTCTTTCGTTGAATTTATGTACTTATGCATTACATGAAGCTTTTTCTTGAAAATAAACTTTCGTTTCCATCAGTTTAACTGGATCTTCTTTTTGGGAACAAAACTATGAACTTTCCTATTTAAATGATTCCAAAATGCCGACAATTTATGGGCAAGTTTCTCAATAAAAAATACCAAAAGTGCTACAGAGCATCCAAAAATTAGTAGAATTAACGGGACGCTCATGTCTAGATGCTCAGTTTCATTTTCATGCTGAAGTTCCTTTCCTTTATTTGCCTCAACGTTTTGTTTGTTCCAAAAACCATAAATTCCTGACTCCATCAACAATTTTACGAATTTTGTGAACTTATCAACATGGATATATCCTCTATTTACATTGAATGTCTTGTAAGAAGGTGTTATAATGATCTTGTCATACAACCTTCGATCTTGTTGATAGTTTCGCGAAGAACCGATAAAATAGTCAGCATAGTCACATAAGACTAAATATGCTAAGGAGTTATCAAAGTCATCGGGTACCTCAACATGAATATTCTCAAAAATATTAATGTAATTCATGATCAAATCTTTATGAATTATTGGTAAATTGTTCTTTTGTGCTGTATCATCGTTATAGTATGTAAAGAAGACTGTCCTCCTTTGTTTTAATTCTTCAATGCTCGTAGCTGATCGCCAAGATGGTTTAGCAAGCATGAATGACAAGAAGAGTGATTCATAGAAGGAAACAAGAATGAATGAGCTAAAGATGAA